ATAAAATAGGTCTCCCCGATCGTCTAGTTCGTCTCGTGGCCTCCTATTTAAAACATCGTACCTTTCGTTTTAGACACGAAGGCACGCTTTCTTCACAGCGAACTATCAAGGCTGGTGTCCCTCAGGGCTCAGTACTTGCTCCTCTGCTGTACATCCTGTTCACCAACGACATTCCCATCCCGTCGAAAGGTGTTCAACTCTCCCTCTTCGCAGACGACACTGCCATCTACTGCAAAGGTGTCTCAATACCCTTCATACGGAACAAGATCCAAAAGTCAGTTGATGACCTAGGAGCTTGGTTCAAAAAATGGCGCATCGATGTGAACCCGGAGAAGAGCTCCGCCGTTCACTTCGATTATAAACGACGCCGTCTCAAAAACACTCCACCAATACGTATGCTAGGGACCCCTGTCCCCTGGCATACGTCTGCCAAATATTTAGGTGTCACTCTAGACACAGGGCTCACTTTCAAGCCCCACGTCAAAAGAGTAACCCGTCACGCACGATTTTATCTGAGTAGGCTCAACAGTATGTTGGGCCGACACAGTAAAATGTCCCTTCGAAACAAGCGTACCCTTTACAAGGTCTGTATACGACCAGTCATGTCCTACGCGGGCCCCGTCTTTGCCCACGCAAACCCTAATATTTGAAATGAACTCCAAATAGTTCAGAACCTCTTCTGTCGTCGAGCTGCGAACGCACCTTGGTACGTCCGTAATGCCGACCTTCATCGGGACTTAGAGCTCCCAACAATTCAACAATTTTTTAAAAAACTCTCTGAGAACTTCTTCAAAGCCTCAGAGTCGCACCCAAACCATTTAATTCGTGAGGCAGTTTCTTATGCAGCCCAACCCCCCCTCTCGCTATCGTGTCCGCAGGCCGAGAAACTCTCTTTCGGACCCGCCTAATAAACTTTCAAACGACCTGAACTGTCTCCTGGCGGCTCAGGCCAACTCTAATTAAATAAAATTATTGTAATAACTAACATTAATTTGCCTTCGTAGGCACTCCCTCAGCGGCACTTAGCCGCCTGCGCCCTCTTTTCCCAAAAGAGGGTCGCTCATGATAAGGCACAATAGAGCTTAATCAGACGGTTGCCTGTCCCCAAAGGCGGTTTTTAGAGGGTATCACTTAGGGTCCCCGGTAGGACAGTGAGCCCCTCATAACCACGATAGACCGGCTATCGTGGTATGCGTAATGCATTTTCCGCCTCCCTACGTATAGGGTAGCCCTTTAATTGCTTCGGGCGCAAAAAAAAAAACTTCAGCACGTTTGAGCGCAGTACAATAACGGTTGAGTAGCCAAATAGCGACTCAACGCGACACCATGACGAGTTGTATGCGCGATGGCTCCGATGAGTCACCCACCGTCCGGTCTATAAAAAAAGTACTCTGTGGTCCGGTCGGCGGGTGAAGCGATACAGCGAGCGGCGAATGTTAAGATGTTCGTTAGCAAAAGTTTTCAAAATGTTTTCGATTACAACTTTATATTCCTCGTGTTTATCGCAATACGGTTTTCATACTTTTATTAATAGATATCTGGGCTACAAAAGTATAATAAAGCAACAGAAATCAAGAGCTTACAACGGTAGGGAAAAGAATTTCACGGAGCAAAACAATTCATTTCTTTCCGTCTAGCACACAAGTAACTATTTGGTACGGTTATAGAATAAATCAGTTTATATTTAACTAGCTTTTTACCCGCGGCTTCGCTCGCGTGGGCTTCCGTTGAGGAACATTATTAATACTGCTACATACCAAAATCAACAAAGTTGGATCACTTGTAGTCTCGATGTCACGTTTGTGATGTCGAGTGATATTGTTTGAATTTTTAGAAATTATTAGACGTAGACTTTTTTAGAATTGCATTAACATCATACGTCTTGCAACCCCTGTCGCTTTTTACATCGGTCTGCGGTCATGACTTCCGAGGTATTTTTAATAAGGGTAAATTATTTTTGATTCAAAGTTACATAATTTATAATGGTTGGATATTGTAAGTTTTTGATCCTGCAAGAATAAGTATTCAGTAGCATTACATTTAATCTTATCAATTAGTTATTATTAGTTCATTTAGCAGTAAATATAAAATATATGACGCTAGTTTTAGATTAAAACTATGAAATTCAAAACTCTTAAGTTATGTAAATGTGGCCAGAACTATATATATATATATATATATATATATATATATATATATATATACGCATACTATAGTAACCTATAAAGTATTAAATAGCCCTATTCTGCCAAATGTTGCATCATCAGTCCATAAATTGTTAGCTCGTTCAGCAGCTAGTAACCAATTACAAAATGTAAGCCGCGCAGGTTTGTCAGCTTCGCTGAGTACATGTACACGGTGCAGATGAAAGGGGTACTTCCCTTCATTGTGTATGACACTCCATGCGTAATATTGTGACACATTGAACTGTCGGGCTGCTTCATAAGTGCTCGCTGCTGGATTTTCTTCAGAAAACTGCAGTATGTCTTCTTTGTTTATATATATATATGTATATATATATGCATACTATAGTAACCTATAAATATAAAAATCAATTGCTGTCCGATAGTCTCGCTAAAACTCACCGAGTTTGTTGAAATTTTTTGTGTGTGTTTAAGTGCGTCCCTGTATGGTTTGGATTTATAAGTTGGTTTAGATTTTATATCCCGGTAGGTGCCGCTGTTACCGATATCCAGGAATCACTAAATGTCAACGTTTGTCAAATTTATCCTCAATCTACAATTGAATCTACGAAGTCAATTCTCGTTTCGACATAATACCAAACGAAAGCACCATCTAGTATCTAATATCAGCGACAGTAGATTAATATGCGGCTATGGTGATCCTTCAGCTACCTCAAAGCCGCGAACATACATATAGGTATATTATTTAAATGTTCGCAATGAGACATAGAGTTATGTCGATTCTGTTAAAAATTCTGTTTCTGTTAAAAAAAATGCGCTATAGGTGTCGCTAGCGGTTAGCAGTGAAACTAGTTTACGATATAATTAGAATATTATGAAAAAGCAATGTTGGGTTTAGTTGTTAAATTCTTCAAACAATGTTTATTTATCGATTTGGTCAAGCCTTATCATGATATAATCAATGGACTGTCTGTTGACTGAAATTTCACAAAATACCACAATTTCATGTAATTTTTTTTTAAATTTATTTAGAGAACCACAAACAAGTTTACAATATATCTTACGCTAAAGCTTATGTTCTATTACAATTTCTTACTTATTATAAACTCAACGACGATGGTCGCACATAGAGTATAAAAAATAAGATAATTATGTGAGGGACCTAGTTTTGTAAAATAAACCCGCGTATACCATTGAAAGCAATCTTCTCCAATAGTATTCTGTGATAAAGTGTCAAATGCTTTCCGGAAATCAGTATAAATACTGTCAGTTTGTGTATTGGTGTCAAGAGCACTAAACAAATCTGATGTGTAATTGATAAGATTATTTATTGTAGATCGCCGTTTAACAAAACCGTGTTGTTCATCTAAGATAACATTATGCAATAGGGGGTAAATAGCATCATGCACCAAACGCTTTATAATGCTAATGATCGAATATTCATGATAAAATCAATTCTACGATCTGGCCACGACGTATACAAAAATATCTTTAAATAATTTTGCAATAATCGCAGGCAAAGCAATGTTAATCAGTTCATTATTATAACATATTAGTAATTAAACTAAAAGCCATCTGAATTTTCGTAGATTTCACTATTATCTACTTAAATTATTACTATTAAAATGAAACAATGAAAAACTGAAAATAAATCTTAGAAGTTTCAAATCATTTAATAAATATAATTATTTAAGCGTATAAATGTAAAGTTATTTAATTTATTAGTAAGTCACTGAAGCCTAAATATACTACTTTTACTTTTTATGACAGAAGACGCTGTTTCGGGAAACGTACAATGTAGATCGCTTGCGTAGTTTCAAATAATTAAAATAAAATTTAAACTTTAATTATAAATATTGTATTCGTTTAAAAAAAAAAGACTACGTTATCCCGCTTATAGCTAACAGAATCATTCATAATAGGAAATTAACTTCTAAAGAAAGGAAAATATTTAACCCTCTTTTTTTAAGTTCCGTAATCGGATAAAAAGTAGCCTATAAGTAGCCCCGGTTCACAAACTGCCTGCATACACAATTTCATGGAGTTTCTGTCCGGTTTTTGCGCGAATCTTTAATACACAGACAGACAGACGGACGGACGGACGGACAGAAAGACAGACAGACAGACAAAATTTCTAAAAACCAGTAATTTGGCTTCAGTATCCTTTATTTAGTCACCTGGATTTGTTCTTTCCAGGAAATATTAGAATTACAGACACGACTTTTCTACAGATTTATTATATGTATAGATTATAACTATCAACGACAAAAATAACGAAACGTAAGATTGAACATATATACAACGAGTATTCAAACAAGCATGAGTTTTGGCAGGAACTTGACGCCACGTCAGTGTATTATTGCTAAAATAAAATTGTCTTGGATTTTAATTTGAAATTGGTGCGATTTTGTGTGTTAAATATCTGCACATCTGAACTTTTAGTGGCTCATTTATATGTCAAGTATTTTTTATCTACTTAGAGGTCGTAATCGCTATCAACTGCTGTGTTTCTATCTCATTCAAGTCTCTCAAAAACTTTGCAATAAAACGTATCACCCATTGTGTAAAGAATTTTCTGAATAAGATACACATCAGACTAGACTGTATGGTATAAGACCTTTGCAAATTGTAAAAACAACAACAACAATCAAACACACACGTGTTTTTGACATTGACATTTGATATGTAACCTGTAGACACGGATTTATTTAAAACTGTTTATTTTTTGTTGAAGATTTAGGCCGAAATCCTACTTATCGACTCAAAGTAAAGTATCATCGTCAATCGGCAACAATTTGAAAACATTTATTTTTATGTTACTGAGTTAGATTTTATAAAGGCCCCAGTATTCACAAAATGAGTGAAGAAAATGCAGAGGAAGTAAATGATTCTGTTTCAAGCCCACAGAATGAAAACAATCCACACAAGAAGAAATGGCGTAAAAAAAGAAAGAATTTCTTGTCAAATGCTAAAAAATATGCTAAAAAGGGTCAAATGGGTCGTGGAACCAAAATGCCTGAAGAATTGTATCAATACTTCGTTGGTATATTAGAAGCTATTAAACAGGGAATAGATGACGAAGAACAAAAACGTAAATAGAATTTTATTATTGTTTAAATAAAGTTTGCCTTATTTTTATTCTTGATATTAATGTACTAAAATGGCATTTTTCATGATAATTTAATGTGAGGGCGTGTTCTCTCTGCAGATGTATTATAGTTGTAGCACGAGTGGGTAAGCTCGACCAGGTACGGTCCACACTCTCACAGAATACCAGCCTAAAATAGCAGCATAAATGCTGCTGTGTTTTGTATGGGGAGTGTAGACAACCGGAGACCCTTTCTACTAGAAGCGTGGCATTCCATCTTAGCCCTCAGCGGTGACAATGCATCTACATTTGGATTCTTAAATGAGGATGTAGATATCTATGGGCTACAGCATCCACTTACTATCAGGTAGACTGTGTGATAGTTTGTCATGCTTCTACTATATTATAAAACACAGATTTTCTTCTATAGGACATCAAAAAGCCTTCTTTTACGTACCTGCATACTCATATAACAGAAAGGATAAAAAAATACAAGCTTATTAATTAACTGTATGAATCTGTGTGTATGACTGACTAGCTCTCAATAGTTTTATAAAAAAAAAACTATTTCGCAATCTCTGCATTATCTTCTTTATATTTAGTTTATATAATTTTATTTAATATGATAAACAAACATTCAGTCCACCTGATGGTAAGTGGTTACTGTAGCTCATGAATATTTGCAACAAATTTCAAACAAAAGGCTATGGATACACTGTCACCCCTGAGGATCAAAATAGATTGCGATAGATGCAAAATAATTAGGCTGTGAGGCTAATCACGCTAGTTCTCTATACACTTCAGACTGGAACACGGCAGTATCACAACCTAAGAAGAACATAGGTCAGTCATCATGTATGATATTATCGGAAAAGCTAACGTAAACATTAAATTGCTAGGGTTGTCAGAACAGAAAGTAATAAAAAATAAACAACTGATTTTATTTTATTTCATCTTTAAACAAATTAAATCAGGACAAATTAAAATTACTAAATCAGTACCTACAGTTTTTTACAACACATGTAGTGTGAATCATTTAAATTTATTTGCGTGATAAGACAACCCTAGCAGACAGCTTCTGAGCGACTATCGGCCGCTCAGGAGTGCTCCGCCTGCGTCTCATCGACGTCATCATGTTCCTGCAAAGTCATTTTCGGTGATAACCTTATCACTCAACATCAACTATTAGTCATGGATTTGAAAATCAGAAGCAACCTGAAAGTGGTCATTCATTACAGCTCATTAAAGTTCTCTGTTGAACATAAGTCTCCCCACAAAGGGGTATTTTATTTTTTAGTTGATATTCTTTTTAAGTGTATATTCTTACACAGCCACTACAAGGTAACAATTACTTACTTGTAACTTACATAGCATCATTAATTTTTATTATCTTACAATAGGATATATATCAAGTTGTATATTCAGGATGTATATGTTCCCAAACCCTGGCTAGGAATGATCCCAGTTAGTGAAGTATGTTTACTCACTCCGATATCATAATCACTTCTTGTTTGTTTAACAATAATGGATGAATGACCCTGTCAAAGGCTTTCTTAAGGCCAATATTTACTTTTAATTATTAGACTCTAAGTTTATTGTTGTTGAAGTTTCAGTTATTTATTTTTTATTATCTTTAGCTTTGTTATACATACCCTTAAAAGAACATTTATATTACCAATTTTCTTTATAACTTTCAGAAGCCTTAGTAAACAATGTCTTGGAACGAACAAAAGGAGAGGAGATTAACATAGTGGGAAACCAACTTGGCTGCCGTGTTATAGAACTATTACTTCCATATGCCAAACCGGAGGATTTGGAGCGTTATATTGAGGTACTATCTCCAGATATTCGGAGGCTGTGTTCTGATAACTTCTCGAATCATGTACTTATAATTTTGCTCAAAGTATGCTCTAACAGAGCCACCGATCATCTGCAAAGTGAAGATGCAAATGAAGGTTCAGACACCGAAGATGAAACACCGAAGAAGAAGCGAAAAAAGGAGAATACTACTGTGTCAAAATACAGTGACGAGCATATTAAAGTTTGCTATGATTTTACACTAAAAATATGTAAATATGTTCTAAACAATTTGGAGGATTTTGTATGGGACACATATGCGAACCATATTGTACGCGCAGCTTTGAAATGTCTAAGCGGAATTACACTGCTGCCAGGTGAAAAACCTAAAGTAAACTTATTTAAGGAGCCTATATTAGAGAACAAGGGAATACCGCCTCACCAAACGAAGATGGAATATAGGAATGTTCCGGAAGAATTTAAAGAAGTTGTTAAGGAGTATGCAAACCGTTTATCACTTTGGCCGCAATTCAAGGAACTTCCATACGAAAGTGTGACATCTGCAATGTTACAAGTGCTATTATTTGCTGTTAAAAATATAGATAAGACATTGACTAGGCATTTAATAAAGAAACTGTTGAATGAAAGTTTCGCTCCTGATGATTGGGTGTCAATGAGTACTGATAACAAAGAAGATGGAGAAAAAGATGAGAAAAATGAAGATGGTGAAACGGAGGTGGTCAACTGCAGTTTGCCTCCGGTTTTTAAATCGGAACCGGCTGTTAGGTGAGATATTTTAAATATTACTTTTAGTCTAATATTTCATTTCATAAACATATTTAAATAAAATTATGACGAACAAATTTATAGTCCGCATGGAGGTAATTGTCCACTGCAGTCAATGGGCACCTGCCACCAATTTCATCTATAAAAGGCTGGAGACATATTGTCACCTCTTGAGGAATAAAATGGACTGCCTCACAGTTATTAATTATATTGGCAGACTAGAGTGCTTGCCCTATTTGATGGCAGAAATAAAACCCAATCGCATATGGCTACTGTAGGACACCAGAAGATATGTTGTCATCCCTGAGGACTTGACTGATGACAAACTAGGACATATTAGTACTGCTGCTTTGTCACAGGTATAGTTAGAAGAGTGGGACCCCTGCACTCCAAATGACTCCTTAAAAGAAAAGTAAAACTGTAGCATGGCTCCACCACATAATTATATGTGGTAGAGCTATGCTACAGTTGTATTAGTATTATAGTTGTAGCACAAATGGGTTGGCTCTACTGAGGAAGGACCGTGCTCTCACAGAATACCTGCGTAAATTGAATTGTCTGCTTAGTACCCTATACAAAAAGTATGGATATAAAAATAAAATTGTGTTGACAAGGGACTTCAATATTAACACTTTAAAGTCTAACAAATTTACAACTATGTTAAACAATTTAGCACCAAATTATAACTTAACGATACATATCAAAGAACCTACCCGAAAATCGTCTTGTATTGATCATATATTAAGTAATATTAAATCAGCAATACCAGTCATCTTACCGCTTTATTTATCTGATCACAATACTGCCCAAATGCTGAAAATACCGGTTAAATCTGCGAAACAAAAACCTAGATCCTATTACGTTTGCAAAAGAGATTACTGCTCTGAAAATATAGAAAAATTTAATGGCTATCTTGGCAGTCTTACATTTAATGACATTTTAGAGGAAACTGATACAAATAGAGTATTTAAAAATTCCATAACTTATTTCTCCTACTTTACAATCTATGTTTCCCGTAAATGAAAATAAGGATAACACATACAACAAAGCTAAATGGATAAGTAAAGGACTAAGGATTAGCTGCAAACGGAAAAGATTACTTAGATATAAATTTTATAAGAACAAAGATATCTTTAGTAAACATATCTATACAAATTATTCAAAAATCTTAAAAAAATGTATTTACTTATCAAAAAAAAAATTAGAAATATATATTTGATTAACACGAGCATAAATAAGTGCAAAACTTCGTGGACAATTGTAAATAATGAAATAGGTAATTATTCAAAAAATATTGACATTATTAATATAAAAGATAACAATACTATTTTAACTGACCCAACTGATATAGCAAATAACCTCAACAACTTTTTTATTAACATGACTCACAACAATAACATCAGTAGTAATATAACTAATAATAATAAATTTAAAACTAATTCTACAGAGCTCAAGTCAATGTTTCTAAGAGAAATGTCAGAAAATAAAGTCAGAAATGCAGTCATATCTCTTAATAACTCAAAAACAACTGGCTATGACGGAATATGTACCAATATTATTAAAATTTCCATCGATAATTTTATAAAAATACTTACACATCTTATAAATCTATCCTTTTCAACAGGTACTTTCCCAGAAAAGCTTAAAGTATCAATAAACTGTAGCAATAAACTGTATTAAACCGTTGTTTAAGAAAGGTGAAAAAGATGACGTTAATAATTACAGACCCATTAATATCAATTTTTTCAAAAATATTCGAAAAGTGCATTTTTTTGCGCCTTTCTAAATATTGTAATAAGATTAGTGTCATCAGTCCACAACAATTTGGTTTTCAGAAAAATAAATCTACTTCTATATATATAGAGTATACATTAATTAAATCCATCTTAGAAAGTGTAAATAATTCATATCTAACCACTGTATTGTTTTTTGATCTAAGTAAGGCTTTCGATTTCGTAGACCATAAAAATCTTCTTAAAAAACTGGAAAATATGGGCATTCGAGGAATTCCTTTGCAGTGGCTCGAATCTTATTTGACAAACAGAAAACAAAAAGTTGAAATAAAAAATCTCAATAACCAAAATGAACTGACTTCTTATTATTCAGATTTTAGGAATAACAACTTTAGCGTCCTACAAGGAAGCATTCTTGGCCCTTGCTTTTTATTTTATATGCCATCAAAAACATTACTTGTAAAAAAAAACAAGTCTCGCAACTCAGTTCTTCTACCGTAAAAAGTGTTCAAGTACACTGATTCATTCAATGCAAATGTAACTTTGTAATTCTATATATTTATATAGGATTACAAAGTTATTTCTGCAGTTGGTGTAACTAGAAAACTGGACCGAAATTAAATTTTTTTTTTAGTTTTTCCTTGATTTATACACTAAACACTAATTGTATTCTAAATTTGAAGCATCTATGTCTGCTAGAAGTGTCTTAGAGTTTTGATGATAGGTCAGTCAGTGAGTGACAAAATTAAGAAACTTTGACTAGTTATAATTCTTAAACCACTAGTTCAAATTGAATGAGACTTGAAATATGCCATGTTTATATAATGCCTACTTGGTTACTGAAAATTCAGGCTTCTAGCTTTATCCACTACAAAGTTATAGGGGGTCGATAATGGCCTGAATTGCCAGATATAAATGACATTCCCAATATAACTACCTTCTCGTCCAAACAAGCTTTCGTAGTGAACGTGTTATCAGTCTATCTAATGAATAACCCGATCCGTGCGCGCGATTTTGTGTACTAAAACAGGTGAACGACGTAATAATCTTTGCTATTGTCTCGTGAGTGCATAGTGCGTTTTTAATAAACATTTATAATAAAACAGCTCCGACGCGCTGCTGTTAATTTGTGGGACGACCTGCCGCACCCCCGCCGCGATAAGAGATAGTCGACATAGTTGCTGTCCCACTTTCGCAGCCGCTTGTGCTACCTGTGCGGACCGTCCCACGTCAAACCCAGTTGCTTATAATAAATAACACTCACCATGCATCAATGCGCCGCTTGTCATTCAAAGATTGACGATTACGATTTCTTAGAATGCTGCACCTGTTAACGTTTTTATCATAGCCAGTGCGTTGGTGTTTCGCCCACCGAATTCGAGAGACTCTTCTGACACCAAGGTGAGTTGGATATGCCCTGAGTGTCGCAGCATAAAACCACGCAGTGATAATTCAAATACGCCGGTCCGTCCGTCAACACCTACTAGTAGTGCCCACGCCGACGCCAATGTGACATCACGCCGTGGAAAGCAGGGAACGTCACAAACAAGCGGCCGTAGTCGCTTCCGTAGCCGCGCAAAGCGGCTGCTCCGGCTCATGTGTGTCGCGCGCGGAGCTGCGTACCATTATGCAGGAGGAACTTCGAGGTTTCATTAAGGAATGTATTAGGGAGGTAAAGGAGGACTTAAACAGGGAATTGAAAGGTTTTAGGAACAAAGTTGGTTCTATAAAGGATTCCATAAATTTTATTAGCGACTCTTTTGACAAACTAAATACTGAAATTACTACATGTAAAAGCAACATTGAGACGATCTTAAAGGAGAAGGAATGCCTCCGGAATGAATTAAACTCTATCACCACTCGCTTTAACCAACACGAACAAATCTCCCGCGCCTCAAGCAACTTGGTAAAACCGTATCTTGTCCTGTGAATGAAGCGGATATATTTTACTGTTCACGTATTGCGAAAAATAATCCTGAGAGTCCACGTCCCCGCTCAATTTTAATTAAGTTAAACAACCCTCGCTCGCGAGATACGCTTTTGGCCGCAACTATAAAGTACAATAAACATCATCCGCAAGATAGACTGAACACCGGGCATCTCGGCTTCAGAACGAAAAAAAAGACTGCCGTATACGTAACAGAAAATCTGTCGCCTGAAAATAAGTATCTCCATGCGTTGGCGCGCGCTCGAGCTAGGGAGCTGCAGTATAAGCATGGGTTCGAGGCGGCCGCATTTACATGCGAAAGACGGATACATCGGAATACATACTTGTGCGAAACTCAACAACATTGGAACGATTATCATAAGCTAATCTAATTTTTTTCAAGCTAAGCGTACAGTTAATAAGGCTTAAAATTCAATACGTTAAATATTTACTACCAAAACGTACGCGGCCTCCGCACAAAAACGACGAACTCGACGTTCTAATTACGACGTCATATTCTTATGCGAAACATGGCTTAACAATACTGTATACGATGGCGAACTTTTTAGTGAGCGATATCTAGTATACAGGCGCGACCGGGAGACTAGTGGCTCCATAGTAATAAACCTGGCTACCAGTTTCATAGTAATAAACCTGGTCCTGGTGGCGGGGTGCTCATTGCAGTATACAAATATATCTGCTCTCGTAGGATGTCACATCTGGAAAGCGACTGTGAGGATGTATCGGTGGAATTAGAGATAGGCGGAAGAGGTAATTCCTCTGAAAACATATTATTGTGTTGTGTATATCTTCCCTCACCTTTACAAAAAACATTCTTGATTGTTACATTGAAAATACAAAGCGTGTGTTAGAATCAAATGCAAAGACATTAATTATGGGCGACCTCATTTTGGGTAACATTATCTGGGATAAACGTAATACGTCTTCCCCACTCAGTTTTATAACCAAAAGCTCACTAGATAATGCTCTACTGGATTTTATTGCTCTTAATAATCTCACTCAATATAACTATATTTTAAATGAAAAAGGTATAATTCTTGATCTCGTTCTCTCCAGCGCGCTGAAGGTCAGTGGTGTGGTGCGTGGTGACTCTCTTCTGAGTAACCCCGACTCTCACCACCCTCCCTTATTTTTTTTATTAAGTGCGAGCAGCTATGCAGGTCTAGGGAAAGAGACCAGTATCACTGCGACCTAGAAGATCTATTGTGATCGCTGCTATGGCTATAGTTCACGGCTAAGCCCTATGTCTTCAATGAATAGAAGGAGTTGCTTAGCCGTGAGCAATTTCACTTCTTCTGGGCGGAGTACATAGTTTCCCA